AGATGGCATGGTTGCTCTGTGGGAGTACCGTGAGGATGGAGCAACCCGCATATGATTCTCTTTAAGGATGGTTTAAAGAGGGAAAAGAGTTAAGAATCTGGAATTTGGGTCTGTCACCTGTCATCATAGCTGGCTGCTGCTTTTCAGCCACAACCGGGACTAGGACAAATGGGACTGATGTTATCTTGAGTTCTTCATTTATTTTTACCTTGATTTATTTGGGGTGGAGGCACTGTCTACATGAAGAAAAAGATGTCATGTAGACTGTCTAAAAATAAAACGCATTTAAACTAAAAAAATGGGTAAGACAGTAAATTTTATGTTGTGTGTTCTTTACAATAATTTAAACACTGTAACCATCAGACATCTCCACCATACACTGAAGAAAGAAGATGAGAATTCCCACGGAATAAAAACATTGCATTTCATTTTATGACAGATTGTATGAAAGGCTGGAGGTATTCTTAGCAACTCCAGAATTCTTAAGCACCAATCTGTAAGAAATAGGAATAAAGTGTCATCCAAATATTTCACATTGCCTGATTGAAAAATGAACTTAGAGAATGGGTGTCTGCACTATGAAGTAGTATGTGAAAGTTATTAAATCCACAAAATACATGGACCCAAATAAATTCTGACACTTTCTACAGAGGCAAATTAAAGTAATTCAAGTGAGATTTGTTCCAGCACTTGAAGGGTTTTTTCCCCCAGCTTTATTGATGTGTAATAGACATATAACATTGCCTAGGTCTAAGGTATACAACCTATTGATGTGATACACTTAATATTGTATTGATAAAATGATTACCACCTCTATCACCATTTTGTTGTCGCTATTGTCTTTAGAATATTTAGGATCTACTACCTTAGCAACTTCCAAGGATATACTACAGTATTATCAACAGTGCTTTGGTTTGAACAAAAGTTTAGTAGAGATTTCTCTAGCAACAACTACAGACCTGTGGGGGGGATATACACCTTTGATTTTTGGCTCCTAGGTTGTGTAGCTCCAAGTTATTTTGCTGAATTCACATGCCCTTTGTCTTTTTGCTTAACAGGGCAAGGTTGCCTAGAGTTACATGCCTAACAGAAATAGAGAGGGTTTTCAATATTCATATTTATCTTCTTTAGAAACCCAGATACTATTTTTATTCAACGGCTTTGTCACTTGTCATATTTAAATCATTGCTTAAATGGCAGCAACATTCTAATCACAGCAAAGTGCAATTAATCTGTACTTTGGGGCTTTGTCATGTTCCTCACTCACTTCTGCTTCTTAAAGCATTCAGCATCACTGACCTCACCTTGTAGACACCACTGCACTTGGACCAGCCACTGACCTCACCTTCTTTAAGAAAAATCTTCTGTTGCTTTCTCTCCAGCTGTGGCTCTCTGTTTTTCTTCTTCTAGCTCTGACTCTATCCTTCCTGCTTTTCCCACTTGCTTTTCTTCTCTATTTGTTCAATGAATGTTTCTGGAGAGACAGCAATGTGCCTGTTACTGCACTCCCAGAAGGAAATAAAATGGATGTGGAGCCCACTCCCTTGAAGTGCTCTGAAAGTGGAGACATGGTATGGATCAAATCATCAGAGTAGCACATGTGGACTTGCAATGACAATCTGTGACAGGGGCACTGGGCCATGGGGAGATCGGGAGGCCACTTGGGCCTGAGATCTGAAGGATGAGTAGATGCCTGTGGGCTAGGTGAAGAGGTGAGGCCAAAACCCCAACAATCAGTCTCAGACAGCTTCATCTCTCCAGCACCCTTGATTTGCAGATTGCTTATTGGTTTACAACCACTTCCATATACCTCACATTGTGGTGATGCTCTATAGGGGGAAGAACAGGCATTACTAGCCCTTTGTGTAATTGAGGGTACAAGGTTCAGAGTCATTAAATGGCAAACCCACTGGACTGACTTCAGGCCTCCAATTTTAAGTCTTTAAAATATCATTCTCTCTTCCTTAGTGACTCATTTCCTTGCTCATGACCCTAGCAGAAAACTCTTAGACTTACCTCTTAGGACCCACCTTCAACTCACAGTCATTTTTCACATTAGCTGCTGGGTACACCCCAATAATGTCACCTTAATAAAATAGCTCTTCTGCAAACACTAGTTTTGCTTTTAAAGTTTCTTGCATTAATTCTAATAATACTGTTCTGCCAAAATCTCAGATTACTGTAGCTTTAGTTTCCAATTATCTGAGAAGGCAAGTCTCCTCTTGTTTGTATTTCTCATAGTTTTCTTAACCTAATATTGGACATTTATTTTCCCCAGTGAACTGTATGATTATTTTGTCCAATTGAAAAGGGGGTGAGAATCTTGTTTTCATTCTAATGAAAACTATATGAAATCAATTTTAGGAGAATTGACTTTTTTATGATATAAGATTTTTCATACAAAAATATGGCTGACTTTTCCAGCAATTGAAAATTTTTGTGTGTTTTAACAAGACAGTAAGAGACGTCCCCCTATATTTTCTATTATTTTTGTCCCCTATATTTTCTATTATTTTGTTAATTATTCCCAAGTAATTTATAGTTTTTTTCATGATTTGTAAAAAGATTTTATTTATTTATCTTTAGAGGGGAAGGGAGGGAGAGAGGGAGAGAAATATCAATGTATGGTTGCCTCTCATGCGTCCCCTGCTGGGAACTGGCTTGCAACCTAGGCATGTGCTCTGACTGGGAATCGAACCACAATCATTTGGTTCACAGGCTTGTTCTCAATCAATTGAGCTACACCAGCTAGGGCTATAGTTTTTGTCATGATTATGCATGGAAAAATATGACCCCACATTTATTTTTAGTTGGCTCTTAGTAGAACAGGAATAAAGCTATTTTAAAAAGATCTTTTTTGTTTATTTGTAAGAAGGGGAAGGGTCAAGTCAAGGAACATGTATAAAGGACCCATGGACAAGGACCACAGGGAGGAGGATTGAATGTAGGAGAGGGGGTGGGCAGGGCAGGGGAGAGTAATGAGGGGGTAAGGGAGGACAGCTATAACTGGACAACAATAAAAATAAATAAATAATAAAAACAAAGCTGCCTTTTGACTTAGTGATTCCACTGCTGGGAATATAGCCTAAGAATCCCAAAACACCAATTCAAAAGAACTTATGCACCCCTATGTTCACAGCAGTTCTACTTACAATAGTAGCCAAGTGCTGGAAACAGCCTAACCGCCCATCAGTAAATGAGTGGATCAAAAACTATGGAGTAAAAGACAGAAAACTGTACTTAAACAATAATTAAATAAAAATTTTTTTAAAACTATGGTACATTTACACAATGGAATACTACACAGCAGAAGAAAGAAAGGAATTTCTGCCCTTTGCAACAGAATGGGTGGAACTGAAGAATATTATGCTAAGTGAAATAAGCCAGTCAGTGAAAGGCAAATACCATATGATCTCACCTATAAGAAGAAACTAATGAAAAAAAAAAAAGAAGAAGAAACTAATGAACAAAATAAACTAGCAAACAAAATACAACCAGAGGCATGGAAACAAGTAACAGACTGACAGGAACTAGAGAGGAATTGGGAGGAGGGGAATAGGGTGAAAAGAAGGGGAAGGTTCTAGGCAAGGAACATGTATGAATGTCCCATGGACATGGACCACAGTGTGGGGAATGACTGGGAGTGGGAAGCGGGCTGGACAGAGGAGGGCAAAGGGAGAGAAATTGGGACAACTAAAAGAATAACAATAAAATATTTAATAAAAATGTGTTTAAAAAAGATTATTTATTTTGAGATAGAGGGGAAAGGAGGAGGAAGAAAAGGAGAGAAACATCAATATGCAAGAAATACATCAATCGGTTGCTTCTTGCACCCCCCCAACTGGAGACCTTGCTTGCAACCCAGATACGTACTCTGACCAAGAATCGAACAAGCAACCTTTCAGTTTGCATGCCAGCACTCAATCTATTGCGCCACATCAGCCAAGACAAATAAAAAAAATATTGATTTCTGTATATTTATTTAGAATCAGTCCACCTTATTGAACTCAAGCAAAGTAGGTTCAGCTGCCTGTGGCAGCAAAAGCCAAAATCATGAAGCAGATGCTGATGCAAAAGGAAAGAGGTTTTTATTCAAGTGCTGGGACCTGTGAGAATGGTGGACTTCAGTCCCAAAGACCATCTTGCCTTCCTACTCAAGCCGTGGTCCTTACAGGAATAAGTAGGGGAGGGCTTTCTTTCTCCACCCAATCATCCTACTAGCTTTTGGTATGCTTGGGCCCTATCCATTTATCTTTCTAGCCTTTGGCATGCTCAATGTAAGAACCTCCCCCTGTACCATCGTGTCCAATAGGGGACACTCCCTGACTATCTACAGTATCAATTCCACCTCCTGCCCTTGTAAATTCTGGACCCTTGTAATCTTACAAGGATAAAAGGATGGAGGACTCATCTTCTGTTCATTCTTCTTGCTGTCAAAGGAAGTAGTCTTACCTATCTATCCCAGGGTCCAGAGATTCCTGCTCTCTATTAAAAGAAGGGGGTCAAGAACAGAGGAAATCCTTTATGCTAGGAAGAAGGATTCTGTCTTTGAAAGACAGAATATATGGTGTCTCAAGTATGGCACTGCTGAACAAGTGAAGCTAGTAGACTCCTTCATGTTTCAACAGATGGTGTTGCAGGTGGACTTCCAAAGTCTTTGGGAGTCCTTTGGGCTCCCTTTGGGAAACTTTTGGGAGGCGTTGTTCCTTTCCGAAAGAAAGGAACAGTTTAAAGACTGACCAATGTGGCCCAGCTGATTGGGCAACATCTCACAAAGTGAAAGTTCACCACTTTGATTCCCAGTCAGGACACATGCCTGGGTGGCAGGTTCCGTCCTCAGTCTGGATGTGTACAAGAAGCAACTGATTTATGTTTCTCTCTCACATTGATGTTACTCTCCTTTTCTTTCTCCCTCCTTTCCTCTCCCTAAAAATAAATAAATTGAATCTTTTTTAAAGGGGAATTTAAATCTCTTTCAGGACTGCAGATGCAGCTTTCCTTTGAAGTATCAACAGCAGCAAGATCTGAGTCTTGCTCAGGTGGTGCTCACTATTCATGTGTGGTGGATCCAAGACTCAATTTCTGTGAGCTTCAGGGAAGAGTGTGCTGTCAGCAGGGCATCATAGGTACCAGTCCATTGTTCGGCTAACTGGTGTTCAGGACCTTGAGTCTTCCAAGTCCTTATTAAGACTGGAATGAGCATCAGGGCTGGAACAGATGGGTAGACAGACCTATAATGATCAAGTTTGTGCAAAGTTGTTAGTGTTTGCCCTAAATGTTGTATGTACTGTTTGATTTTTGATTCGTGTTCTAAGTCTATCTAAAACAGAAACATGGAAGGGTCACCCACAAACTATTTTTTTAATATTAAATTTTATTTAGTTACTTTTCATGTACATTTTTTTTTATCTATTTCTCCCATCCCACCCCACCCCCCTGCCCGGTCTCCCCCCTCCCTCCCATCCCCCCCCCCAGTCCTCATCTCTGCGTCCCTCATACTTGTTCCTCAAAATCCCTCCCCCTTTTTCCCCTTAAGTTCCCTTCCCTCTCCCCTCTGGTCGCTGCCCACTTGTTCTCTATTTCAGTGTCTTTGTTTTTGTTCTGTTTGCTTGTTTGTTTTATTCTTTAGCTTCCACAAACTATTTTAAAAGGGCTTAATGTAAGCCCACTTCAGGGGCGTTACCAGAGCGGAGGAAGAGAGAGTACCTAGTCCTACTTCAAATGTGTTCCCTGGCATATTTTTTGCCAGGGTCCTCTTTATTTTGTGGTTCACTTTCTCAGTCTTCCCCATAGGCTAAGGTCTCCAAGATGCATGTAGTTTCCATTGAATTGGTAGTGCTTGTTCTATATTCTAGGATATTTTGGAAGTGAAATTCTGGCAAGTCCAGGTGGGGAATTAAAGCCCAGAGAAGTGGCAGCCCCCAGGTGGCCCACCCCAACACCTCCTCAAAGTTCAGCCATCGTGGGAACTGCCTCTCCAATATACAGGTAAGCATACCATAGCAATCCAGTTCAGTAGATTTCCTGCACCCAGCAACCCCAAAATTCCCTTTGCATGCTCAACACCCTCACTCCCTAAGTTCAATAGCCCTTCCTCCCTGCCATACTCCATGGGTGTGGACTACTATGAAAGCACACCTGGATTCAGTGTAGATGCCATCACTCTCTCCCTGGGACAATCCTAAGTCTCCAGTGAGGGCCACCAGACCAGGCCCTTGTGCCAAGGATCCTACTGCAAGGGCCAAGGCCTCCATCACCCCATCCATGGTGACTGCTGTGTACACAGCCCTGCACTGACCACCCTCCTTGTAGCTGCCCACATGTGCATACAATTCCAAGCCAGGCTCCACCAAACACTGACCCAACAGATCTGGTCCACTGGAACAAACCCCGTCATTGATTTCCAAGTAAATGTGCCAAAGGTCCAAGCCTCAACCTGAGTCCAGGAGCAGGGTGGCCGGGTTCAAGGCAATGATGGTCTGCAAGGCAACACTTAGGCTATCCCAAAAAAGTGGCCTTACATTTTCCCATGTGCCTTGCCACCAGCCAATACTCTCTTCCCCATTTCAACAGGACCAGGAATGATACAAACACTACAGAATGAACATCTGCACCCCCAGCAAGACGTCCCAGGCAGCTGCCACTGCCCAGAGACGTGAAAGCCATTCTTCTGTCATGCAATCCAGTTTAATTTTTATGGGTTGAATGTCAACCACCCCACCTGGGGTTCTGTCAGCCCAAATGGCCTGATCAACCTGCTAACAGATCTTGGATAGGAAGAGTCTACCCCAGGTCCCTTCAGGCAAGCCAGGAGCAGCTGGAGAGCATGCTCCAGCAGAATCCCCAAACATAATTGGTGCTTCTCAGGTTATCCATACAAAGTAAATTAACAAAGTAAATCTCAGAGCAACAGTGGGGTGATCCCCACTGGGAGAAAAAAAAAACATATGTAAGTCCTTGATCCCTAAACTGGCATTTAAGAGATCTAAGGAAGGCCTGTTCCTTCAACTGTCAGGACACTCCAGTAACTGATGCTGCAGCTTATTCCCTGGTTAGTTATGTATTGCTGCCCAGTTTGGATGGTAAAACATCCCACTTTGGATAGGAATGCTCCCTGGCCAAACTGGGTGTCCTCTGGGGGTCTTTGGTGGGGAATAGCATTCTTTTATCACACAGGAGTGTGACTGTTGCCTTTGTGGGCCTTATTTCAGGGGTATCTAGAAGCAGGGATAGTGGGGGAGGGGGAGTCTTCCTGCTGCTAATCCTGGGATTCCCAGGATTAGAGAGGCAGGAATTAAAGGAATTAGAGTTCAGGGCATTAAAGAGACTCATCTCATTTTCCTTTGCTTCCTGTGTCTATCAGGGAGGGGTTTTAAAGCCAATTCCCTTCTCTGCACCATTAACTTATTCCCTTTCTTTGCCAAATCCTTATTATATAAAGACATAAGTGCCTGGACATAAGGGATTTTGTCCCATATCCCTGACCACTGGCAAAACACTTCCAATGATGGTGCAGTAACATATCGAACCATTTAGGGGTGATGTTCTCCCCATAGTCTGAAGTATATATAGGCCAAACAGTGTCACAATAGAAAAACAATTCCTTTTTAGTCATTGGATTATGGCTGTATATGGACCAATCTGCTAAAATTTGGCCCACTGGGCTCCCTTTAGGAGTCAAAACAGAACAACCCATGATGGCATGAAAGTACAAAATGATAGCCATAGCAAGACCCCAAAGTGGGAACATATAAACAAAACTTGGATCCATAATTTCATTATTTCAAACAAGTGCTCACAAACAAGTCTTAGCATCTTAACTCTTGCCAGCCAATATTGCAAGCAGTCCTGACTAGACCCTGATGGCATGATGGTCAAGTGACACAAAGCCCAAATGTCAGGGAGAGATGGCCAGCTCATCAAGATTTCACCAGCAGCTGTTCATGATCTTTTAGCTGCAGCAATTTTCATTATTTTATTTTATTTTTAATTTAATATTTATTCTATTTTTCAATTATCATTTAGACCCTTTACACCCCCTCCCCAGCAATCACCACACTGTTGTTCATGTCCATGACTCCTTTTGCCTTTTTGCTCAGTCCCTCTACTTGCTAACCTCCCCTCTTAGTTCAGTTTGTTCATTAGATGCCACATATGAGTGAAACCATATGGAATTTGTCTTCCTCTTATTGGCTTATTTCATTACCATAATGTTCTCCAGGTCTATTTATACTGTCACAAGGGGTAAAATTTTCTTCTTTTTTATAGCTGAGTAGTATTCCATGGTGTAAACGTCCCATATTTGTTTGATCCACTCATTCACTGATGAACATTTGGGCTGCAGCAGTTTTCAGAAGTAAGCAGTGTACTTCCTATTAATTTCACATTGCTGGCTAATCAAAGCTTTTCTGGCAGCTTTCAGTGCCAAGAGCCCAAGAAGCAGGGATGGAGAACCCCCAGTCTCCATACTGGTTCAAGTCATCCAGTTTTGGGGTTTATCCATTCCCCAGAAACCTGTTTCCTTTCACCAGCCTACTCCCGGGGGTGGCATCTGGGACATGAGCCCAGGTCCTCCGGGACTTACCAAGGCCCATGCCCTCCAGGCTGGCTGGCCAAAACCTAAATCCAAACAAAGTCAGTTCAGCTGCCTATGGCAGCAAAAGCCAAACTTATGAGACAGATGCTGGTACAAAAGGAAAAAGATTTTTATTCAGGCGTCAGGACCTGGGAGAATGATGGACTCCCATTACAAAGACCACGTTGCCTTCCTGCTTAAGCATTTGGTTCTTATAGAGATAGAGAGGAGTGGGTTTTCATTCTCTATCTGATCATCCTGCTAGCTTTTGGAGCTCTCAGGCCTTATCCATTTCTAACCTTTAGTGTACTCAGTGTATGAATCTCTTCCTGTGCCATCTTGGCCAATGACGGAGACTTCTTGGCCCTCTTTGACTGTTTACAGTATCATTATTACATTCCCTTAAAATTATATTTACTAAGAGCTCAGCAAGATGATAGAGGAGTAAATGGAAGCCACACTAACCTCTTTCCATGACCAATCTGGAATTACAACTAAATTGTGGAGAAGTTACCCAGAAGCAACTACTGAACAATTGTGAGAGAGAAGCCTTATAACATTAAACAGACAGAAGAATTGGCTTCAGCACAATCTGTCTGGTAAGGAGTGCAGTGGAGACTTGAGAATGCTAGCAGGGCATCCACAGGCAGTAGCACCAGAGGGATAATTCAGTGGCTGGTTGGATCACCCTGCATTTAGACCCCAATAGAATGGGGTCTAAACCCTGAACTAGGATCCCCAGCCAAGAGCACCAGAGCCCAAAAAGTACACAGATAACAACCAGCAATGAAAAGCAGCAAGGTTGCAGAGACAGACAGCAGAAGACACAAAGAGCCATTTAAAGGGCCAACACACAAATTTTCATTTGTTGTCACTTACCCAGGGTTCTAGCAAAAGCAGGAGCAGAGTGAGTTAGAAATGCCTGAGGAGAGACTGGGGATGAAAGATTTAGGGAAAGAGCTGAGAGAGTAGCCACTGGGATCACAGTATTGAGTCATCCCCCATACAGCAGCAGCCATCATGCTCAGGCAGACCACTCCCCTTCAAGGGGCAGCAGCCTGAGGGGAAACAACAGCCCCTCCACCAAGAGAGACTCTTCCCTGGCTTTGTGGTGCTTATGCCTGGCTGCTGAGTGCAGAGTGACCAGATTAACAACTGAAGGAAACTACCATAGACAGTAGATCCATGGAAGTCTCAGAGCAGGTTGCCTAAGGTCAGATGGGGTTAATATCTGACGTCACTGGAGGCAGATCCAGAAAGGAAAAATAGTAGTAAATACTAGAGGCTACTGAGATGAAATCCACTGTGGTCTTTCTCCATGATTAACAATATTTTCTTTCTTGTATAGCTTAACATTCATTTCTTATCCATCAAGTTTGTGCATATTAAGTCACTAGAACTTATACTATAGTTTATTTCTTTCCTTTCTTATAATAGTTTTAATCTCTTTACATCCTTATTAATAGTAATTCATTTGCTGTTGATGCTGAGATTGTAGGGCAGGTGGAGATATTTTTGTGAATGTGGGTTTGTTACCTGGGCTTTGTGGTTTTCTTCTGGCAGCACCTGTACAATAGCATACAAGATGTGGTAGATGGAGTGACCCTCAGTCAACCAGCTGGAGGAAAGGACCCACCAAAGAAAGACCCAACAACGATCAAACCCAAAAAACAAACACAGAGCCAACACAAATAGTATCCCAAGAGCAGTAAGTTCAGGAGATCAAGGAGACTGCACCACTGAATTTCACAGGTCTTCTACCATAGAAGTTCATACCATAAATTCAGGGAGTCAGAACAGATCAATTTAAGAAACAGAGACTAACAAGAAGAGTCTTGCAAACAATGTGAAGACAAAGAAACAAATCTCAAACAAAAGGAAAGTGGGAATCCTCAGAAAGAATGCTAAATGAAATAGAGGCAAAGCAACTATCAGATATTGCCTTCAGAACAATAGCTATGAGGAAGCTTAGTGAGCTCACAGAGAATTACCACAAACTACAGGGAATCTATGAGGAACTTGCTGCAAACTACATCAACATGAAAGGAAATAGAAACTATCAACAAGAATCAAGAGGAAATGAAGAATACAATCTTTGAATTAAATAACACAACAGAAGGAATCAAAATCAGGCTCAATGAAGAAGAGAATTGAATCAGTGAGGTGGAGGACAAGGTATACAAAACTCCCAGAAAGAGCAAGAAAAGGAAAAAATACTAAAAAAGAACAAAAAGGGGTTAAGGGAACTGCAGGACAACATGAAATGTAATAATATCCATATAACAGGGATACCAAAAGGAGGAGAGGAATGAGTAGAAAATCTGTTTGAAAAAGTAATGATGGAAAACTTTTCTAATTTGATGAGAGAAAAAGTCACACAAATATAGGAAGCACAGAGGGTCCCAATCAAGAG